GGGGGACTGGAGGCTAGAACATACAGGGAACGGTTGCTGGAATTGGGTATGTCTAGTTTAACGAAGAGAAGGATGAGGGGGGACATGATAGCAGTGTTCCAATATCTCAGGGGCTGCCACAAAGAAGAGGTAGTCAAGCTCTTCTCCAAAGCCCCTGAAGGCAGGACGAGAAGCAACGGGTGGAAACTGATCAAGGAGAGAAGCAACTTAGAACTAAGGAGAAACTTCCTGACAGTTAGAACAATTAACCAATGGAATAACCTGCCCCCAGAAACGGTGAATGCTCCAACACTGGAAGTTTTTAAGAAGACACTGGACAGACATCTGTCCGAAATGGTATAGGGTTTCCTGCCTGAGCAGGGGGTTGGACTCGATGACCTCCAAGGTCCCTTCCAACTTTATTATTATTATTATTATTTACTGGTTTGTATAGGTAGTCCTGAACTTATGAAAATTGAGCCCAGAATGTAGGTTGCTAAGTGAGTTTTGCCCCATTTTACGACTTTTCTTGCCGCATTTGTTCAGTGAACTGCTGCAGTTGTGAAATTAATAACTTGGTGGTTAATTAAATCTGGCTTCCCCACGGACTTTGCTTGTCAGAAGGTCACAAAAGGGAATCACACGGCCCCGAAAAAACTGCAGCCGTCATAAATACGAACCAATCAAGCATCCGAATGTAAATCGCGTGACCACGGGGGGGGGGGCGCAACGGTCATAAGTGTGAAAAATGGTCATAAGTCACTTTTTTCGGTGCTGTTGTAACTTCGGAGGTCGCTAAATGAACTGTAGTTAAGTCAAGGACTACCTGTATTGAGTTCATCTCCCTTTACTTTTGCAAAAACCTGTTGGCGGGTTCTTTTTTTTTAAATAAATAAATAAATAAGAAAGCAAGATTTTGAAATAATAGAGAATACTGGTCGCTCGGGTTTTAGTTTTTCCTTGTGGTTTGTCCTCCAAGCTTGTTTTAATATAATTCCTGAGCGTTTCGTTACCAAACTAGGTAACATCAGCAGCAGGATTTTCTTGTCCTGTCCTGTCAATATGTCAGAAACCAGACTATTCGAAGTGCCAATCAACAAAAGAACCAATCAGCTGCTCAGAATTCAAAGTCCAACTGAGCACACTGGCACAACGAGATGTTTATGAGTTAAGGAGAATAGGACAAGAAAATCCTGCTTGCTGATGTTATCTAGCTTGGTAACGAAACGTTCAGGAATTATATTTAAAAAAAAGAAAGAAAGATTTCCCAAACCTAAGGCAGACGGACTGGGAAGACAGGACAATGAAAACTTGGGAGTCATCCAAGAAAATGCTCTTAAGAACCAGTGAACTTGACCCCTTCACCGTTTCCTTTTCTACGGCAGGGCATGATGTACAAAGGACTCTTGGACTGCCTGGCCAAAATCATCCAGACCGAGGGCTTCTGGGGCGCCTACAAAGGGGTGGGTGCTTCTTACTTCCGCATCGGGCCCCACACGATCCTCAGCCTTCTCTTCTGGGATCAGATCCGCCAAGTCAACTTCCGCTAGCCGCAGGAGTGAAGCCGCTCATAAGGGGGGGTGCCCACCCCAGTTTGCACGTCAAGACTTACCTCAAAGGGGCAGCCCGGACCTCGCTGTGAGTCAAGCTAGTCTCAAGAGATTTGACGCCAGCAGGCTGGCGACTTCTACGGTGCAGAGAAAGATGTTGATGGCCCATTCCACGCACTTTTGTTTTTTGGCTGTTCTCACCTCTTGGTCCTCTTTCCTACTTGGCTACAGATTGAGGAGTAAAAGAACGTGCAAATCTGTCCCCCTGCCCGGAACAATTAATACCAAATCGTTAACTTCTTGACTGAGGAGCCAACGCACCACGCAGACGCTCGTCCTGACTGGAAGCTTGTGCAGGAGCATGCTGGCCCACTCTGTAGTGAAGCGCCATTTTTCCATTGCAGAAGATGGACTTCCTAGGAGAACCCCTACAAAGCTTTTTTGAGGACTCTGTTGTGTCACTTCTACCCAGGGTGCAAAATTATAGGGCGTCCCTAAAGGTGGGGAGAGAAGTCCTATTCAAACTGTTTCCATGGCAACCAAGTAGACCTAAACTTCGCAGGGGTAGGCAACCTTGGCTCTTTTATGACTCGTGGACTTCAACTCCCAGAATTCCTGAGCCAGCCATGCCATGCTGAGGGGAAAGGGAGAGGCTTCCAAGCTGAGCCATGCTGGCTCAGGAATTCTGGGAGTTGAAGTCCACAAGTCAGAAAGTGGCCTAGGCCTAGTCCAGGGCTAGGCCACCTTGGCTCTTTTATGACTCGTGGACTCCAACTCCCAGAATCCCTGAGCCAGCCATGCTGAGGGGAAAGGGAGAGGTTTCCAAGCTGAGCCATGCTGGCTCAGGAATTCTGGGAGTTGAAGTCCACGAGTCATAAAAGAGCCAAGGTTGCCTACCCTGACCTAAAGGTAGGATTCACCCGCGCCAGTTAATCCAGCCTCTAGGTGGCACTAGAGTGCCATCCTGCTCTTGCTGCCATTTTCCCTCTTATCTATATTTACATGCTATTAAAGTTCTCAGGTCTGTTTTGTTACCTCCAGTTGGGTAAAATGGTGCGTTAGAGGGCAACCATTTTTGAATCAATGCACCTCAAATGGGCTAACTTACAGAATGTGTCCAAAATCTGGGCTCCATGACTAGGAATTGACATTTGGCAAATTTGGGGCCATTTCAGTGCAGTGTTGCACCACCGCAATCAAGTAGTCATCCTTTCCAACACTCCCTGACATCTTCGGCAATGGAGAAGCCAGAAAGGTAAGTCACAGGTTGTTCAGGTAAGTCTCCCCCACTCACACAACACCCAGTCCCTCTGGGCTCCCCCGACACTGGCCATTCACGTACCGATGCACAGCTGCGTCGCAGTTCTGCGTGCGACCTCCACCTCATAGCATCTGTTCTACACCCCTGCTTACCCTTCCCGACCCAGGCTACATCCCTGTGCATCCTGTCTGACCTTTTGTACACCCTTGCACACCTTTGCCAATTCTTCACCCTCCTGGACCTCCACAGCACCTCTCATGCATTCCCTGCACATCCTTCCTGACCTGTTTTGCACCCGTGTGGCACCTTTCATGCCTCATTCTCATGATACTTCCACCTTGTGCCGAGTCCATTTGTTTTATTAATTCAACAGGAAAGCTTCCAGGAAGTCTAAATTTGATGTAGCAGCAAGGAAGAAGGCAGAAAGGAAGGCAGGCAGGTAGGCAGGCAGGCAGGAAAGGAAGGAAGGAAGGAAGGAAGGAAGGAAGGAAGGAAGGAAGGTGCCAGTCAGATCGGGGAAAGCGTATTGACTTTAATTCTCATATTAGCTAGGGAATTCTGGGAGTTGAAGTCTGCACGTCAAACTGTTATGTTTAATCTTCAGGGTCTCATCACGAAAACACCAAGGAAATTAGCATCTTCCCATGAGAAAAATTTCTTAATTAATTCAAGGATCTCATTTCAAATCCCTCCGCCTCCTTAATCTTTTGCTAACCTTTCCAAAATCCAGACACAAAATACGTTTTTGCTACCTGGTCCAAGAAGTCATATATTTTTTTTAAAAAAAAAATTAAATCAAATTTACACCATCATCCTTTTAAGGAGAAAGTCACCGATGAATACAGTAAAACCTTACTGGTCCGAAGGGTCTTAATCTCTCCGATATGCAAGTGGGGGCAACCCCCCCAAAAGCGATTAAGAAATGGGCTCGACTTAGTGATCGTAAAAATCTGTGCTGTAACTCCCAGTCGCTTCACTCAGAAGCCAACGACAAAAATGACAGTTTCCATGGTCTACTCAACGAGGAGTGGCTATCCAGAGTCACGTGGATAATATCTACAAACTCTCTTCTTCTGGAGAGGTTTTGCCTATATGGATCCAACGTCCAGCCGTGATTTCCTTGTGAATGATGTCCTGCTAAAGAGGAGGGCGTGACTCCCAGAAGTGATTGGGTGGGTGGGTGGGTGGTGCAGATTTTGGACACATTCTATAAGCTAGCCTGTTTGAGGAACATTGATTGAAAACTCGTTTTGCCCAATTGGAGGTTACAAACAGACAGAATTTTAATGACCTAGAGGCAGATAAAGCTTTTGTTGAAGCTTTTGTGCATTTTAATCAAGCAGCAGACCTGAAGCCCCCAGGATCCACATAAAAGGGAGAATACTCACTCTGGGTACTCCGATCCACACGGTAAATTCTTTCGACTGGACGCAGCAGTGAAGATGCTAAGAGATGACGCATGGACACAGACCATTATGATGACGTCTAACCGTTAACACAGTTTTTTAAAAAAAAACATATTTTCAAAGGTTGGTTTTATTTTATTTTTTACTACTCCCAGTTGGCCTTCGTGTCCCTTGACACTCAAGGACACAGTCTGGCCAAAACTCAACTGCACAAGCAACCTCAAATTTCATGACAAAACACGTAAAGCCTAGAAGAGATGGAATTTGAAGGAAGGAAAAAAAAGAAGCAGGAAGGAGCAGTCTTGCTTAACAGCAAATTACCTTCTGTTTTTACGTTTCTTTTCTTAATCTTCTTTTCTTTTCTTAGTCATCTGAGGGTATACAGCTACCCCAAATAAAAAGTATCTCTTTGGCAGTTGATGTGTACATTATTTCTGTGGTTCAGGCTCCTTCCATTACAGAAAGTGTGAAAAACACTTGTGAGTGCTAGATTGCAATCTAGTGAATTATCCAGAAGGTAGGTAATCCCAGTTTGCTTGGATCACATGTAGAAGGACACTAGGAAATAGTTGGAGAGGTGAGTAGAACTACCCTTCCTACAGTCTAATGTGTTTTTCAAAGTTGGCGACTTTTAAGATGCGTGGACTTCAACGCCCAGAATTCCTCAGCCAGCATGGCTAGCTGGGGAATGCTGGGAGTTGAAATCCAGGCATGTTAATGTCAAGCTTGAAAAACACTGGTCTAACGCAATCCTAAAGCAAAGCAAGTTGGCCTGAGTTTGCTTTTTACAAGGAGAACGTCCTTGGGCATTCAGCGTCCACGTCCTCTTTTCCGTCGAGGGATGAAGGAAGACGATCCAGATACCGGAACCGGCGTTCTCATCTAGAAAGCCTCTGAACCGAACGGCCCTGTGATCACGGCCGGGATGGAGCAAAGCTGGATTTTTGGCAAATGTAGACAGAGAAGCGTCTTAACCGAACAGGCCAGGATCCAGGAGCCGCAGGCTACACACGAAAGCGTGGAAATGCTCCACTGTCCAAGGAGGTCGAGAGAGGGCCAAGGGGACCTCTGTGCTTTGCGCAGCACTGGTACTCAGAGGGCTGTCTCAGAAGAAAGAGGGAAGAAAAAGAGGTTGGTCATCACAGGGCAGAATTGCAAAATGTCTGCCAAAACCCACACGCCATCAAGCTGACCACCTTGCAGCCTTTGGAGCGGGCAGACCCTCCCCCAATAGAGGTAGTCCATGCCTTAGGACCAAAATTGAACCCAATTTTGTTTATTATTGCTGAGCAAGGCAGTTCAGTGAGTTTTAGCAATAGCAATAGCAATTCTTAGACTTACATACTGCTTCACAAGTGCTTTAGTCTTCTCTAAGCGGTTTACAGAGTCAGCCTATTGCCCTCCAATAATCTGAGTCCTCAGTTTTGCCCCATTTTTAAACCTTTCTGGCCACAGTTAAGTGAATCACTGCAGGTGCTAAGTTGGTAACACGGTTAAGTCAATCTGGCAGCTAAATGAATGTGTGATGGGAGTTAGACATACACTATTGTAATAAGAGCTGATAAAGCATGGCGGGAGAAGGAACTGGGCAGAAAGCCAGCATTTCAAACTAATTGGAGAATGTGATTTATGACTGTTAGTTGTAGCAGGGAATTGTGCTTTGATCTATGTGCTGAAGGGAGGGGAAGTCAGATTTTGGCTTCCCCTATGTCAGTGTTTCTCAACCTTGACAATTTTAAGGCATGTGGACTTCAACTCCCAGAATTCCACAGCCAGCATTGCTGGCTGTGGAATTCTGGGAGTTGAAGTCCACATGCCTTAAAATTGTCACGGTTGAGAAACACTGCCTATGTATTCTTTAAAGTAAACAATGCCTCAAAGTTTTCAAAGAGTTTCATCTTTCAGAACCATGACATTAAGCCAAAATCTGACTTCCCCTCCCTTCAGCACATAGATCAAAGCACAATTCCCTCCTACAACTAACAGTCATAAATCACATTCTCCAATTAGTTTGAAATGCTGGCTTTCTGCCCAGTTCATCAGCTCTTATTACAATATTGTATGTCTAACTAACCACCATCACATTCGTCCCCCCTCCCCCAGTATCCTCTAATTCTAAGAGTAAAGTATAAGAAAAAAAAAAGGCTGCATCTCCATCTGTTGTCAAAGCAAGAACATCCAATGTTAGCAGCGTTGACAGAATGATTGTCAATTGAGGACTACTTGTATTCCCCAATTTGGAGGGAAGGACGGTGGAATTTCAAAAGGTTCGCCTTAAGAAAAAGGGATTGCCTATCTTTTAAACACCCCTCAACTTCTTTAAAACGAGCCGAGGATGTATTTAACACACGCTACACAGCTTGTGTGACCCTAAAAAATGTCAGAGGCTCACTCTCTCGGCCACAAGGATATTCTGACAGAACAATTAATCAGTGGAACGACTTGTCTCCAGACGTTGTGGGTGCTCCAACACTGGAAAAGATTGGACAATCACTTGTCTGAAATGGTTTAGACCAGTGTTTCTCAACCTTGACAATTTTAAGGCATGTGGACTTCAACTCCCAGAATTCCTGAGCCAAACAGCCAAGGTTGCCTACCCCTGGTTTAGATTAAGTCTCCTGCTTGAGCAGGGGGTTGGACTAGAAAGCCTTCCAAGGTCCCTTCCAATTCTGTTATTCTCTTAATTTTCACTCCTCCAATTTAACTTTTCCCTTTCTCTCCTTCCCTCAGAGCAGTTAGTGGTTATAGCCTTGTGGCAGGCAGAGGAGATAACTCACTTAATCCAGGTGGGGTCATTGAAGGTGACAAGCAGATCCGTTCCGTACTGAGGGAGGCGAAGCAGCACCAAATGCACAGAGACATCGTTTTTGGCCTACGTACCAGAAAACGGAAACAAAACATCGATCAAGGCCTCTCATTTTATACAGGAGGAGGGTGAAAGTAGCTTTTGAAATCATGAGGGCTAGCCCCTCTTCTTTAAAGAAGGGCATATTCACAGGAAGGGGACACCACCACGTCAATTGGTTCTGTTATGTAAGCCAAGCAAGGCCAATCTGGTTAATTCCAACAGAGCACAGTGGAAACAAGTTTTGTGTCATGTCTGAACGAGAGATGGGACAGGCCTGGAAAAAAAACGGAAAAATTGGGGGGAGGGGAATTTATCCAATGATAAATTATATATCTATGACATGGTATTCAAAGACTTTCATAAAAGATTTCTGAGACTTGTTGTAAAGTCTCAAATTACTGTATGTTCTCTCAGCTGAAGAGAAGCCAATCCTGCCTCCAAAAATCGTGGGTGCTCCATCACTGGAGATTTTAAAGAAAAGACTAGACCAGGGCTTTTCAACCTTTTCACCCATTGTACCACTTTTATTTATTTATTTATTTATTTATTTATTTATTTATTTATTAGATTTATATCCCGCCCTTCTCCTTGCGGACTCAGGGCGGCTAACAACCGGATAAAATACAAAAAAATCACACTACTGATTAAAAAGTTAATTAAAAGGGAAATATTAGTAATTGGTCTAATTAAAATTATAATTAAAACCCCCTCTAAAAGGGATAGGGTTAGGGTTTAGGATATGGCAACATCCGAGTACCACCAGTCGCCTAGCAAGGTGTCAAAAACTTGATGACCAAAAAAAAGAAAGGAAAAAGTGATAAAGTACAGGTAGTCCTCGACTTACAACAGTTCGCTTAGTGACTGTTTAAAGTTACAATGGCACTGAAAAAAGTGCCCCCAAGCCACAGCCGAACAAGACACCTGCCTACCTGCCCGGCGGCGCTCTTCCTCCTGTCCGAGGTTTTCATTGTTGTGAGCATTTCTGTTGAGGATTGGCAACGGGGGTGGGGTGGGGGGTGCTTGGTTTTTATCCCCCCCGTCTGCTGGGTGGTTGCAGCAGGTTTTGGTCACTTCACATGACCCTGGGACACTGACCGTCATAAATATGAATCAGTTGCCAAGCATCTGAATGTAAATCACAAGACCCTGGAGATGCTGCAACATTCCAGCTGATCGGCATTTCTTCTGGGCTCAGCAGAAGCGCCAGGATCAGCGCCGAGCTCCAGCTGGAGCCTGGCGCTTCCGCTGAGCCCTGACAGCCCTGCAGCTCCAGCCATTTCTCGCTCAGGCTTGTGTGGTGCTGCCACCGGTTCAGCTCATTCCCCTCCCCTGCTACCACTTTTCTAGGATGGTCGCGTACCACCTGACAGGTGCCAATGTACCACAGGTGGTACCCGTACCACTGGTTAAAAAGCCCTGGACTAGACAATCACCTGTCTGAGATAACAAGAAGAAATATTACTATTGGACAATGTGAACAGCCGTGGATGAGGACGAGGGAGTCTATTGTTTAACTAAAACAAGCCTTTGAACGGGAAAACCAGAGTTGGTTTTGCTTCTTCTGTGCCAATGTAGATTTTCAGTAAAGTATTATACACTTGGTAAAATCAAACTCCCAGGAGTTTGTTTTCTGGAAATGCCAACTGGACAATTGACACCCGTCCCCCAGTAACCTCGCCACTCACCTCCTCGTTGAATTTAGCGACCTGCTGGCGGCCCGCCAGTTGCCAGGAGCTGCTGCAGCCTTCGAATGCCAGAAGAGCGGGCGCAAACTGGGTTTGGCTCAAAATCTCCGAATTGGCAGAATTGCCCGCAATGTCTTCAAAATGAAACCTGGTGGGAATGGGGCGGTTTAAAAAAAAAAAAAAGAACGGACGTCTCTCACCGACTCTCCCCTCAATGAGTCTCGCGCTAAGAGGCAAACTTTATCCACAGGTGAGGCTATCCCAGGTGAACCCCTTCCGCAAATTTCATAGGCAATTTCATGGAGAAATTGCAAAATAGCCCGAGCTATGGACGTTCTTAATATACAGTAATCTTCAACTTACGTCCACAATGGAGCCCAACACTTCTGTTGCTAAGCGAGACATCGGTTAAGTGGATTTTGCCGTTTTACGACCTTTCCTGCCAAGGCTGTTAGGTGAATCACTGCAGTTAAGTTAGTGTCACCGTTGTTAAGTGAGTCTGACTTCCCCATTGACTTTGCTTGCAGAAGGTCGCAAAAGGGGATCACGTGACCCCAGGAGGCCGCAACCGTCATCAATATGAGTCAGTTGCCAAGCATCTGAATTTTGATCACATGACCGTATGGATGCTGCAACCGTAAGTAAGTATGAAAATTCCTCATAAGTTACTTTTTTTCAGCGCTGTTATAACTTTGGTCACTAAATGAACTGTTCTAAGTCGAGGACTACCTGTAATCTTATTATCTTTTACCCCCCCCAAAAAACAGCATTAGAACACACACACACACACACACACACACACAAACAGAACTTTTCCTTTTCTGTTTATTGTTCTATTATTCTACTTTCACTTTGTTTAAATTTCCTTTTTTTCTTTCTCATGTTTTTTAATTGTCGCAAGCCACCTAGACTAGCCGTATGGCAAGAAAGATGGCAAATAAATGTAACAATAACAATAGTAACAATAGCACATTTCTTGTAGTAATTCCTAACCAGACCGTGAAGCATTTCAAACCTTACGCTAAATAAAGCAAGCCAGGATTTCATCACACTCTAGGAATGCTTGTTTTTAAGCATTCAAGACAGGCCCGTTTTAAGCTCATTTAAGGACTGTGATTAGACACACAAAGAATTTTGTCTCTGGTCAGTGGCGGGATTCAGCCGGTTTGCACCACTTTGGCAGAACCGGTAGCTAATTTTTTGTTGCCCAGGCACAGAATGGACTTCCGGAAGCGTCATCCACACAGAGAACCGGTTGTTCACATATTTGAATCCCGCCACTGGTTAATACCATTTCAATCTACTGTTTCTACTGTGGACAAAGATGATAAATATGTCTAGCCTATTGGAGAAAACGACTAGGGGTGGACATGATAACAGTCTTTCAATATTTGAGGGGTTGTCACAGAGAGGAGAGGGTCAACCTATTATCCAAAGCACCTGAGGGCAGGGCAAGAAGCAATGGATGGAAACTAATCAAGGAGAGAAGCAACCTAGAACTAAGAAGAAATTTCCTGGCAGTGAGAACAATTAAATCAGTGGGATGATTTGCCTTAAGAAGTTGTGAGTGCTCCAACACTGAAGGTTTTAAAGAAGAGATTGGATAGCCATTAGGAATAGGAAAAGGTGNTTGTGAAAACTGCTCACAGTTTCCTTTATTTGACCCAAACATTACAAGCTGCTGTTGTTAGTCTTTTGTTATTGTTAGTTGCGAAGTCGTGTCTGACCCATCGCAACTCCATGGACAATGTTCTTCCAGGCCTTCCCGTCCTCTACCATCTTCTGGAGTCCATTTAAGCTCACGCCTACTGCTTCAGTGACTCCATCCAGCCACCTCATTCTCTGTCGTCCCCTTCTTCTATTGCCCTCAATCTTTCCCAGCATTAGGCTCTTCTCCAGTGAGTCCTTCCTTCTCATTAGGTGCCCAAAGTACTTGAGTTTCAACTTCAGGATCTGGCCTTCTAAAGAGCAGTCAGGGTTCATCTCCTCTAGGACTGACCGGTTTGATCGCCTTGCAGTTCAGGGGACTCGCAGGAGCCTTCTCCAGCACCATAGTTCAAAGGCCTCAATTCTTTGGCGCTCCATTTTTCTTATGGTCCAATTTTCATATCCATACATTGCAACTGGGAAAACCATGGCCTTGACTATGCCTACTTTTGTTGGCAGGGTGATGTCTCTGCTTTTTAGTATGCTGTCTAGATGATACTGTCCATGGGGTTTTCATGAAAAACCCTGTTCAGCTATGTTGGATTCGCACAGCTTAGATACAACCCGTGCAGGGGTTTGAGCAATGTTTTTTCAACTGCTCACCCTGGGCTTTTCTGGCGAGAGCTTCTGCACCAGAGACAAATTCCTTGTGTGCGTGTGTCTAATCATACTTGGCCAAATAAAGTACAGGGAGTCCTCAACTTACAACAGTCCGTTGAGTGACCGTTTAAAGTTACAACAGCACTGAAAAAACGTGACTTATGACCGTTTTTCACACTTACGACCCTTGCAGGATCCCTGTGGTCACGTGATCAAAATTCAGACGCTTGGCAACTGACTCATATTTATGACACGGTTGCAGTGTCCCGGGATCACGTGATCCCCTTTTGCGACCTTCTGACAAGCAAAGTCAATAGGGAAGCCAGATTCGCTTAACAACCGGGTTAGTAACGTATCAACTGCAGTGATTCACTTAACCACTGAGGCAAGGTCATAAAATGGGGCAAAACTGACTTCACAAATGTCTCACTTAACAACAGAAATTCTGCCAACAAAAGTGCGTATAGTCAAGGCCATGGTTTTCCCAGTGGCAATGTATGGCTGTGAAAGTTGGACCATAAGGCTGAGTGCCAAAGAATGGAGGCCTTTGAACTATGGTGCTGGAGAAGACTCCTGCGAGTCCCCTGGACTGCAAGGCGATCCAACCAGTCAGTCCTAGAGGAGATCAACCCCGACTGCTCTTTAGAAGGCCAGATCCTGAAGTTGAAACTCAAATACTTTGGCCACCTAATGAGACAGAAGGACTCACTGGAGAAGAGCCTGATGCTGGGAAAGATTGAGGGCAATAGAAGAAGGGGACGACAGAGAATGAGGTGGCTGGATGGAGTCACTGAAGCAGTAGGCGTGAGCTTAAATGGACTCCAGAAGATGGCAGAGGACAGGAAGGCCTGGAAGAATGTTGTCCATGGGGTCGTAATGGGTCGGACACGACTTCGCAACTAACAACAGGATAGGATAGGATTTTTATTTCTATTTTATTCTATTCAACCCCCATCCCAAATTTACTAAGTGTTTGGTGATGGCTTCCCAAAGATCAGCCAGGTTCATCTAAGTCAGCGGACCATTTCACGGGGGTCGCCAAGCAAGGCTGTCCGCCATTTTGTTTCCCCTTTTCCGGTGGGTGCCTTACCTCCCTTGAGCTGGGCCAGCTGGTGGTCGGCCTGCTCCGTCTCTGCCGCTTGCCAGCTACGCCTCGGCCGGCGCAGGGGGCGGAACCACGCATGCGTGGCGCTCCCAGGCAGGGAAAGTCCTCAACTTACGACCGGTTGGGTAGTCCTCAACTTACGACCGGTTTAGTCCTTGACTTACGACCGGTTTAGTCCTCGACTTACGACCAGTTGGGGGTCGCGGCATTAAAAAGGTTGAGAACCACTGATCTAAGTGCTGCCTCCTGGCTGTAACATTTTGTATTTTTTTTTCCTCCCGAATAAGGGAGTTGTAAAAATGGAGATGCTGGGAATTGAACCCAGGACCTCATACATGCAAAGCATGCGCTCTACTACTGAGCTACATCCCCTTCCAGTTCTATCTGCCAGAGGTTGCTCTTCTCCATTACAACAGTAGTCTCTCAATATTATTTCCCCCTCTTTTTATTTTTCAAGGCTTTAGCAGTGAAGCCAACATTTTAGCCTTTTGCTACATAAAGTAGTTAGTTACTGAGTCCCATATAAGTGTTGCTAAGACTAATTAGCCATCGATTAATTAATGCCACTCATATACTTCTCTAGCCTGGGAATAAGCCAGTCTGGAAACAGATTTGCTTTCCAGAATAATTGCCGGGAAGTAGATTAATTTATGCATTAATTAAAATAACATACTGGTGGCCCTTCGCTAAACCCGCGGCTGAGCCAAAATTTCCGTGGCTAAGTGAGATAGTTGTTAAGTGAGTTTACCCCATTTTAGAGCTTTCCTGCCACAGTTGTTAAGGGAATCACTGCAAATGTTAAGTTAGCAACACGGTTGTTAAGTAAATCCGGCTTCTCCGCTGAAGGTTGGGAGGATCACTGAAGGTCACTGAAAGTCACAAAAGGGGATCATGTGACTCCAGGACAATGCAACTGTCATAAATATGAGCCACTGCCAAGTCTCCGAAATCTGATCACGTGCAGCAACAGTCATAAGTGTGAAAAACAGTCATAAGTCATTTTTTTCAGTGTGGTTGTAACTTTGAATGGTCACCAAATGAACTGCTGTCAATTGAGAACTACCTGTACTTACAGTCCCAAGCAAAATATGGGTCTGGCAAAAGTTCTAAATTAAACTTTGGACAATGCTAGATTCTTGAATCCAGGACCCTGGACACGCAAGCTATATATGTGATCATTGAGCTCTATTGCCCTCCAACTCGTTAGCTATTTTTGTTAGAAATTTTTAGTAGGTATGCATTTATTCATTTGCATGTATGTATGTATGTGTATATACATATATACATGTATATGTCTGTGTGTGTATATATATATATGTGTGTGTGTGTGTATTCATAAATATATATATCATCTATTTATCTTCTATATCTATCTATCTATCTATCTATCTATCTATCTATCTATCTATCTATCTATCTATCTATCTATCTATCTATCTATCTATCTATCTATCTATCTATCATCCACCTGTCTGTCTATGTCTGTCTGTCTATCCACCCGTCTGTCTGTCTGTCTGTCTGTCTGTCTGTCTGTCTGTCTGTCTGTCTGTCTGTCTGTCTCCGCCCATCAGAAAAGAGTATGATTTTGGGAGACATAAAAAAAAAAACCTCAAATCACGTCTTTTCACTGAAAGTGCAGGAAATCGGATCAAAAAGCCAAAGATAAAACTCCCACAAAATCCCTTTGCCTTCATGTGCTCCATCATTGCCACAAGCACTTGCCAAATCCAATCCTGCTTTTTTTAAAAGTCTCGCGTATCTGGGAAATTACAGATAGGCCTCGACTTACGACTGGCCACTTAGCAACCATTTGAAGTTAGAATGGACTCGACCCAGATTCAAAATTGTGATGTCTGCCCCCTCCCTCCCCCCCCCGGGTCAGGTCACTGTATTTTGGGTGCTTAGCCACCGGCTCCCACATATGGAAGCTTGCAGCGCTCTGCAGTCATGTGACCATGATTTCCAACCATTTTTCCCCTCCCCGGAAGCCAGCATTTACTTCCTATTTCCTGGAAAAAAGAAACACCCCATAGTAAACAATGGGTTCCCTTAAGAACCGCTGTGTTCATTTCACAACCACCATGTTTGCTTAATGCCTGCCGCAAAAAATTACACTGACCCTATTACATCCAGTTACTTAATAATCTGCTTTATGACCATCACAACTTACGACCATAACTAACAGGCTCCATTACGGATGTAAGTCCAGGACCTATTAAACCTCTTACAGAAGAAAGTAGGAATATTTGCATTCCTTTAATACGTTCACAGTCAAGAGGTCCCTGAGTATACAAAGAGTGTAATTTTGCCCCGGGATTCGTTTTTTCCAAGCAGGCTTTAAACTCCAGCACCAATTTGTTCCCCAGTGAGATGTCCAATTTTGCACTACCCACCTGGCGGCATTTTCATCCGCCACCCCTGCTTGGTATTCCAGCAGTTCCACAATGATGCTCTGATCTGTGTTGGGGTGAACGAAGACTTCCTGGTTGTCAGGTACCTGACGCATTTCACTGCGAGGAAAAGGATAGACGGGGAGAAGAAATTAGGGACAACCAGCCACTACGTCTTTGTGAGCACGTGGACCTTCTAAAAGCAGAGGTCCCCAACCTTTTGGGCACCAGGGACTGGTGCCATGGAGAAAGGTTTTTCTGCGGACCAGAGGGGGTGTGGTTTTGAATACTGCCTGCATCCCGAGGATGGAGCTTTGCTTGTTTGTGCGGCCCACTTGCTGGCATGCTGAGGACCAGTGCCGGTCCACAGACCAGGGGTTGGGGACCCCTGTTCTAAAGACCTAACAAGCAGCCCATTGTCTAGATCAAGGCTTTTCAACCAGTGGTACATGTACCACCTGTGGTACATTGGCACCTGGCAGGTGGTACGCGACCATCCTAGAAAAGTGGTAGCGGGGGAGGGGAATGAGCTGAACCGGTGGCAGTACAGCAAAAGCCTGAGTGAGAGATGGCTGGAGCTGCAGGGCTGTCAGGGCTTAGCAGAAGCGCCAGGATCAGCACCAGATTCCAGCTGGAGCTCAGCGCTGATCCTGGCGCTTCTGCTGAGCCCAGAAGAAGCGCCAATCAGCTGGAATGTTGCAGCATCTCCAGGGTCTTGTGATTTACATTTAGATGCTTGGCAACCGATTCATATTTATGACGGTCACAGTGTCCCAGGGTCATGTGAATGACCAAAACCTGCTGCAACCACCCAGCAGATGGGGGGAATAAAAACCAAACACCCCCCCCCACTCCACCCTGCTACCAATCCTCAACAGAAATGCTCACAACAATGAAAACCTCGGACAGGAGGAAGAGCGCCGCCGGGCGGGCAGGCAAGTGTCTTGCTCGGCTGTGGCTTGGGGGCACTTTTTTCAGTGCCATTGTAACTTCAAACAGTCATTAAGCGAACTGTTGTAAGTCGAGGACTACCTGTACTTTATCACTTTTTTCCTTTTTTTGGGGGGTCAAGTTTTTGACACCTTGCTAGGCGACTGGTGGTACTCGGATGTTGCCATATCCTAAAAGTGGTACAATGGGTGAAAAGGTTGAAAAGCCCTGCTCTAGATATACCCAATTCCTGCAACCAATCAATGCAGAGAACAGGACATGGCTGTTATTTTCAAACCAGAATGTCTAAGAGCCTTTAGTTTGACTCACAAG